TCGGGAGGCGGCTATGGCAGGCCAGCGGCTCCCATTCAGCACTGTGGCTCTCAGGCGGCAACTGAAACCAAGCAGGAAACTCAGCCCTTGCCCCGAAGGCCACCCCTGCCTCCTGCCTCTCCATGGTGAGAGCATTTAGGGGAGTCCCGCACCTCCTTAGCAGGAGCAGGCTGCCTCTAAGTAGAAAATAAAGGCTTTCAAGCCACATAAATCAATGAAAATTAGCAGGAGTCAAGATGAAAAATCTATCCTCCATCACTTGGATGTTTGAGCCAAGGTTCCCGGTGATTTAGAGCCGTATAATTAGAGTGATCTGATCTCTCTCTCCCTCCCTCTCTCTCTCTCTCTTTTTCATCCTCCCTTCCCTTTCCAAAGTCCTCTCCTATGAGTCAGGTTCTCCTCTGGCTGCAAGCAGGTGCATGCACCTGTCAGCTCGGCACCATGATGGATCTCTGTTCTATCTTGGTTAGCCTCCGCCCTGCCTGCCCCTTAATGATCAGTCTGCCCCAGGGTAGGTATGAGCTGTGGGTGAGGAACCCACACCCTGAAGAATGCTGTAGAAGTAGAGAGGTGTGTCTGCTGACCCCAAGTGAAATGCGGCATCATCTCAGAAGTGGAGGAGGGGGGCTGGGGTAATCAGAACCCCTAACCTCTGAACTGGGGAGAAGATTGATGATGGCATGAAAGTTTCCCAGCCCTGCGCCCCCTGCCAGATTAGGAACGTAATCCAGCAGCTGAGGGAAGTATGAGCTGTGACCCATAGAGGTTAGGGGCCTGGATTTGCCTCAGAAAACAGGGACCTAGAGGGTGGTATGGGAAGTGAAGGTGGAATTTAGAGTCAGAGAGACACAGGTTCAAACCCCATCTCTATTACTTACCACCTAGATGACCATGAACAAGTTTCTCAAGCTCTTTGAGGCTCAGCTTCCCCATCTTGAAAATTAAAATAGTGATACTGTCTCACAGAGCGGTAGTGAAGACTACATGAAGAAACGATGTAAAGTTGCCTGAGTGTAGTAGCATCGGTTACAACATGGTACCTTCCTGCCTCTCAACTCTGCTTCTTGTGCAAGGCCGTATAGCAAGTTAGGAAAGGAATCAGAGCTCCAACCTGGGTCTCCTAACTTCTCATCCAAGACCTGGTATCTAGCTCAGGAATCTACCCCCTACAGGCTCTCAGTAGATGGCTTCACTGAATGGCAGAGAGAGCAGAATTAGAAGTTTCCTGTAGGAGGCAGACTAGAGCATGCCCGCGCTGAGGAAATAAGACTCATACCCAGCATGGTTGTTGTGCAGTGTACAATGCCAGGTTCAAGTCCTGACTCAGCCACTTACAAGTCAAGACCCTGGGCAATTCCCCAGGCCTCAGTTTCCCCCAATGTAAAGTGGTTATAATTGTAATTCTTGCCACAGGGTGGTTCTGAGGTTCAAAGAAAAAGTGGGTGGGAAAACCCTCTGCAAAGAATTCTATATGTATAATGGAATAAAATGTATATGGAATACATAATCACACTGTAAATCATTTCATTGACAGAATTTCTCTTAGGAAAGAAACTCTGCTTAGAAAATACCTTTATATGTGCTTGTCACATGGCAAATGTTACCACAACTTTAGAGAAGAGAGAGGATTGCTCTGATGAGAGAGAGGAAGAAGGAGAAAAGAGAGGAAGGGGAGTGAGGCTCCAACAGGATAGAGAGAGACCAGGTGTGGTGAAGAGGTGAGTGAAATTCCATACTGGTTGGAATGACCTGTGCGTGCTTTAAGAACACTGATGCCCATTCTGCCATCTAAGCTGTTTGTGCTGTGTACTCTATGCTCTTCCTCTTGCGCCCCTACAAAGTCATTGGGTGTACATCTATTAAACTCACCATTTTTGGAGCACCGACCACATACATCTGGTGATTAATACACATTCTTTCATTTATTCTCCAGTAACTTGCCACAGATCAAGAAACTGAGGGTCAGAAAACTTGGACAACTCGCTCAAGGTCACACGAGTGGCAGCCGGTAGGGGAGGGATTTTGATCCGTGTCCAGCTCTGGGTATTGGACCCTGTTGCCCCCTGGGCCCCAGTTTTCTGAGGTTAGAAAGGTCACTTAACTGCCCTGAGCCCCAGTTGTTCTATCTTTAAGAAGAAATGTCTCTATTGCTTCTCCCTTGCTCACTCAAATACTTGATAGATGAAAGAGGTAATAGATGTAAAGTACTTTGAGAGCTTTTAAACAAACAACCCCATTGTGAAAGTAAGCTATTATTAATACCACATCTCACATACTAAAAGGCCTGCTTAATCCACCCTACCCTGTGGAGCTGAAGAGGACATTTCCCCCCTCTGTTTATCCTTTCCTGTCAAGTGCCAAGTCTGTTCCACTTCTTTCTCTCTCCACAGAAACTGAGCATATGGATCTCTCCTAAAAATGCCCAAGTCCAAACACCATGACCATCTCAAGTATTCCTTTCCTCCCATTCATCTCTCCAGCCCCCTCCAAAGATAGGGACTAACTAACCCCCGTGATGTGCTAGAAAATGTTTAACAAACAGCTTTCCAGAAAAAAAAGTCCTGTCCTGATCTGTAGCCTTTGCCAATTTCCTTGGTGTAAATACTCCCACCATGTCTAATTTCGAGCTGTCATTATGACATCATTGAGGGCAGAATTGGGAAGAGATGTGCAGTAGCACACCAGTATATAGTAGTTCTACCATATATCTACAACAGACATAAATAACCCCAAAAGGTTAAGTTACAGTAAAATTTAGCAAAATAATTAAGGGATGAGTTTTTCGTATTTATTATTTTTGTTTAAAAATATAACTTATTTAATTGTAACTTTATTTAATTTTAGTTTTTTAAAACAACTGTTTTGCAAAACTCTAGAAAAGTTAAAAATCAGTGCTCGCAAAGCAGATCCAGTCTACCTCTGTGTGCCTCACACGTGCGCACGAAAACAGACTGTAGCACAGAAGCCAAGGCGTGTCGGAGAAAGTGCCAAGTGCTCCTGTAATATATTTTTCTATTCCAGAAACAAGAATCGCACAACAAATAGTATGCTGGGTTGAAAATGGCTCCTTCAGTCTCAAAGACTCTTAAATTGGAGGTGCTCATCTAGTCCCCTTCCCTAACCACGAGCAAGAACTCCTGAGTCCATTCTCCAGGGTCCTGTATTGATCAGGATCCTGTTGGGAAAGGTATGGCACGCTCCAGCAGGGTTTGTGTGAGAAGAGTTTAATAAAGGCATATTTATAAACATACGTCAGGGTTGAGAGAAATGCACAGGGTGGTGAAGTTAGCCAGAGTGGGGAACCATTGGCACTCTAGGCCTGAAGGGTTAGGGAAGGAACGTTCCCCAGAATCTGGAAAGAGCTGTAGGAGAGAGTGCCCCACAGGAGCTGTGGCCTTCAGTTGAGGAACACAGCCACGGCCAACCTGAGGCCCAGCTGGCAGGGACATGGCGGAATAAGGACCCCCATCTCCCACTCCCCCTACCTTCAGTCTTCTCCAGTGACTTGCTGCATGATATAAACGTGTCCTCCTTCCTCTTTAAAAACTTCAGGTAGAGGCACTGTTTCTTGAGCATTGACCATTGGCTGAACCCAACCAGAAGTCAGAGGACAAGTGAGCCTGTTGAAGCAATTCATAAAGGTCACCTTCCAGCACCAGCACCAAGAGCAGGGGAGGTAAAAAGGTGGAGAGGAGATTTGGAAAGGCAGAGAGAACATCCAGCACAGGTCCTTGGTGGCTCACTGCAGGAAGTCATTCCCATCCTAGCATTCTAGGCTAATGCTTCTGAAACTTCAATGGACATACTAACCATTTAGGGATTACAAGGCAATTTCTGACTCAGTAGGTTTTGGTTGTGGCCTAAGATCCCAGTTGAGGCTGATGTTGAGGCCTGTGAACAACCCTTGGGGTAACAGGGTCTTAAGCCATACCCATCCCAACCCCTAAGCCACAGGGTCTGTCTCCCTAAGGAAAACCAGAGCTGTTAAAACCCCCTTAGTCATTCCCTTCTCACTTCTTACCTCCCCTTCCTTTCCTTCTCTCCAGATACTCTCTGTTGTAACTCAGTTATCTAGCAACAACCCCAGATTCTGTTCTCTGTCATCCCCCTCTCCCAATGTCAAGCTACAAAGAGGTGGGTTTGCAGACCCCCAGCTGAAGGCAGCCCTCTCCACTGAAGGAAACCCTTAGGGAATATTCACAATTCCCCACAACCTCCTCTGTCTGCTTCTTTCCTCTTCTTGTCCTTACCCCTACAGTCAAAGCTGCTTGAGAAAGCCAGTGACCTCCTAAAAGGAAAAAAGTTTCAGCCAAGCCCTGGGATGGGACAGGGGGAAAATGCTCTCACTCCCCACTAGAATTTTCCCCTGGGTAGAATAATGACCCAATGGCCAGTGCACTTTTGGTGCTGCCGGGGTGTCATTACTGATGGCCCCTGGCTATAATTCAGGCCCCTGCTCCATCCCTGGCACCTAAGGCAAGCCCTTTTGAAGTCACAGCTCTGGAAACTGTTCATAGACTCTAAATATTGAATAAACAAATGTGCTTGTGTTTGTGTGTGGGAAGGATGGCCACCAGGAGAAAAATCTTGGGTGGTACTCCCATTCCTGGACATGTATAAGCCAGAGATGCTCCCATTTTTGGATTAATGGGAACCCTCACTCAACTAGTGATGAGTGCTAGGTAGCAGCTTAAGCCTGCTTTCTTTCTTTCTTTTTTTTTTTTTTTAAATAAATTTATTTATTTTTGGCTGCGTTGCTGCACGCGGGCTTTCTCTAGTTGCAGCGAGCAGGGGCTTCTCTTCATTGCGGTGCATGAGCTTCTAATTGCGGTGGCTTCTCTTGTTGCGGAGCACAGGCTGTAGGTGTGCGGGCTTCAGTAGTTGTGGCACGTGGGCTCAGTAGTTGCGGCGCATGGGCTTAGTTGCTCCGTGGCATGTGGAATATTCCTGGACCAGGGATCAAACCCGTATCCCCTGCATTGGAAGGCAGATTCTTAAACACTGAGCCACAAAGGCCTTCTTTTTTTATAGGTCAAGGATGCATGGGCTTGTGAGGCTTAGGAAGGATACCCCATGGTTAGCTGCATGTTAGGAGGAAGCAGCTGGGGCTTTAGTCCCTGGTAGAAGAAAGTCTGGCCCTAGGGATATCCCCACTAATTCCAGGTATGATGCAGGTGTGTGTGCCAGCTTATACATATGCTATAAGTGCATTGCGGTGGCCAAGGGATGTAAAGTTGAAAGATGGGTCAAGGGAATGGATTAACATCATTCCTTCTCCTTGGAACCTAGATAATCTTAAGGAGGAACAATGCAAAAACAAAGGTAATTGGACCTAGCGCCTTTGAGACTTTCCTCATTACCTATGTTCACCCGCCACAACTCCTGCATAGGATAATTTCCACGCACAGGTCTAAGAAAAGGCATAGTGAAGTGAGGATTTCCCAGGTTTGGTCTGTTAGTAAGATCAGCAAGATATCCAGACTCCATGAGTAAAAGAATCCCCAAGGGACACATGTCCAGCGCCTGGGGATAATCCTGCTTGCTCCTTTTCCCAAGACAAAGCGGAAGAGGATGAGTCCCCAGACTTCTGGCTCGGGAACGTACTGTCCCATACACTCACCGTATCATTTATTTGGCACTGATCATAAAAACCCCTGACACCATAGTGCAATTTGCTGTTTACAAGGAACTCTTCAAATACATTACCTCATTTATATTTTACAAGAAACCAGTGAGGTGAGGTGAGGTAGGTTTATCGCCATTTTATGAACAAGAAGCTGAGGTTCCAAGAAGTTAAATAACTTACCTAAGGGCACAAGACTCTTAGGTAGTAGAGCCAGGATGGGAATTCAGTTTTCCTGACTCCTAATGCAGTATGCTTTCTTTATGCTGCCTTCCTTCTCACACACTTCTTTGTCTATTAGCTACTGTTTTGGTATTTTCTGATATTGTTCCCTCATACATATGTAGGTGCCCTGCTCTCTCTGCTTTACTAATATTTCCTCAAAACCTATGATAATGCCCGCTACATAGTATGTGCTTAATAAAATTATGCTGAATGAGTGAATAAACAAAATAAATTATAAGCGGCCAGAAGGTGGGGCTCTAACTTTGACTTCTTGGGATCCCTCACAATCACTACACAGTGGAAGAGTAAATGTTACTGATAAGAAAAATGATATCCAGAGGGTGTGACTGACTCCCAGGAAGTCATCTGCCCTGGAAGGTAATATATTTTGAGGAAGAGGGTCCCTGCCGTGGCTTCTAGAATTCTATTCTTAGCATTTCTCATTACCTTCAACTGCCCCTCGCTCACCCTCAGGGTGAAGACATTTGGCCTGTGAACAGATGCCCAGAGGCTCAGGCCTGCATGTTTCTGATTTAGGAAAGAGGCACAGCGGTTTGTGTCTCCATGTGTTCCCACTGTCACCAGATAGGATAAAATGGTTTGTTTCTCTTGGCAGCCTCCACCCAACAGTTCCCCATGTGTGTGTTGCTTTCTTCAATTTTCCCCTCTACAAAATCTGGTCATGTTTAATAACAATAAATCAGAGGAGAGATTGCAGCCCGGAAGAGAAGTCCGGGGCAGCTGGGGTTTCCACATCTGGGGCCCATGCGGGTTGAAGCGATGACAATTCCTAATAAATGTTAATGGAGAACGTCCTCAGATTCATACACTCCAGCCATAATTTAGCCTGTCTCCATGCCAGATGACCTTTTGAACATGCAGAATACACCCATCATAGCACCAGCTACAGCCCTGGATCGCTTCCTGCATATGAAGTGGAAAAAAACAAGGCTTGTTGTTATTGATCATATTTCTCCATTTTCCTTTCCCTGGATTTTTCTTCAAAGGCTCACAGAGCCTTGGGGCCCCCAGCCACCCAGGTGGTTAGAGGCAAGGGAGTCAAGTTGAAGGATGTTTCCCTCTGCTCCTAAAAGAGGCCTCACAAAGTCTGACAGCCAATGCCGTCCCTCAAGAGAGAGGGCTGGACATCAAAATACTGTCTACCCCCTTTCTTTGGTTTCTGAGACCCTTTGCTGATCCTGCTGGCTCTGGCCCTTTCACCAGCCCCTCCTCACCTTCCCACTCCTTGTAACTAGTCGACCTTCAAGGCTGGCTTCAGTCTCTGGCTTTTCTCTTCCTACACGGTCACCTCCATGCGTCTAATGTCCGTGTGCGGTTTTCCAGCTCTGACCTCTCTCTCCAGATGCGGTCCTGAATTTCTAACCAGAGGCTGGGTGTTTTCACTTGAGAACCAGCCACTGCCTAAAATTCTATGTGTCTAAATGAACCTATCATCTCATCCAAACACAGCTGGCCTCTTCTCCAAATTTCCGTATCTCTGTTAAGTGTGCTTCTGCTCTTTCAGCTATATAGACACTCTCTGTCTGCTGCCTCCTTTTCCCATCTGGCGAGAGGGTCATTGAATTTTCCATCCCAGTCTCACTCCTTTTAACTTCCACTGCCAGCCCGTACTCCAGGCCCTCATCACCTTACTCTGAAATTTCCTCCTACCTGGTCTCTCTGCAAAGCCACCCCTGAACACAGCTGTTAGATATATTACCTCAAGATGCTGTCTTGATCATGTCCTTCCCCAGCTCAGAATTCTTCTGTGGCTCCCCACTGACATCATTATTATCGTCATTCAAACTTTTTCATAATTAGGTGCCCGTGGAACCGCCTAAGATTACATAATGTTGGAGCCAGATTTTTAGACTATAGAGCCCATGCTTTTTAAAATTGTTTCCCCCTTACCTGGTCTAGTGACATGCCTAATTAGAATTCATGTATTTATTCAACAAATATTTCTGGAGCTACCGCTACATGGCAGAGTCTGCTGAGAACTGGATGATAAAGTGGTAAGCGTGATAAACACTGTCCCTGGCCATATGGAAACACTTTCTAGTGGGGGAGACAAACAAATAAAGAGAGAAAACAGGCAAATAGATAAAATAATTTCAAACTGTGATAAGTGCTAAGAAACAGCTGGGAGAGAATAAGGGAGTGCTACGATATTTTAATCAGGTCTCTAAACTCTCACCTCTGCCATCACTACCTCTCCGGTTCCTGAAGGATATGATCACTTCTTGGGAACCCACCTTCAATAGCTCCAATAAGGACAAGCATAAGTACTATTTGTAAAACAAATAATTCCCCAAGGGCATCTCTATTTTTGTAGCCCAAATAGATAGTAAATAAATCAAGCTACATTTCTTGGACATTTAGAATCAAGAATGTAATCTAGTGACTCCTTGTTTGGACTGCAAATGGAATGGATCTTTACCTTAATGTATGAGGGACTCAGGTTAGACATGGTGAAAAACTTGCTGGCAAAACTTCAGTGGAAAAGGTGCCTGAGGGAGTGTATCAGTCGACTTTACTAAATAGTGCTGTATAACAAATAACCTAAAATCTCAGAGGTTACAAAACTTATTTCTTGCTTACGGGTTTGCAGATTGTCTGCAGTGCCTCTGTTCCATGTTGTGGATCTTGTTCAGGTCCGTGTACCTTCTCATTCTGGGACCCAGGCCAAAGTGACAGGGGCCTGCTCTTCTCATGGCCAAGGATAGAAATGGAAAAGCCAAGCCAAGCCAAGCAAGTAGAGTTAAAATCTCTGCTTACATTTCATTGGCCAAAGCAAGTCACGTAGCTAAATCCATCATCCGTGGAGTGGGGAAGTTTTCTCGCCCCATGGAAGGGCATAGAGGAGAGTGAATATTTGCTGAACAATAATACACTCCACCGCCAGGAGGTTATGGAGTTTCCTTCACAAGTGGTCTTTACAAATAGAAGAGATTGTTATCTATCTGGGTTCCTCTGGGTACCATATTACTTGAAGTATAGCAGAGGAGGACCAGAAGACATGATTTCTTAAAGATGCCTATTTTGGTACGGGGGCAATGTAATTCGTGTTTGATATCTGGTTGCCACTGAAGCCCCTTTTCCTTTTCCACCGGAGCTGTGCCATGGGGGTGATTTGCAGCCCAAGTCTTAATATCAGAGTCTCTAAGTGATTGTATACAAGTGACAGTCGCACAGCAAACAGAAATACAGAAGAGGTTCTGATACCATCGGGGAACAGTATTCCTGCCATCAGGCCAGCTTTGTCTGCCGCTGCAGTGCAGTTAACCCTGGAATGAAATTGGAGAGCTAACTGATGGTCAGAGGAGACTGGGAAGATTTCTATTTGTAACTGAGAGAGGCAGGGCTCAGCAAAAGGCGAGGCAAGAATAGACTTTACCATGGCTAGACACATTCAGTTTACCCACATTTATACATTGTATTAAATCACTTAATGGTTTTCATATTTGAACATACTCAAATGGAAATACAGAGGAACAGTTGTGAACCCATACCCTCAGCAGTTTTTCACTTCAAGTTTCCATATTCTGTACCCTTTTCACCCTCGACAATAACCTTTATCTCTCTTTTTACCCCAGGGTGCTTATTCTCCCTCTTCTCCCCTCTGAATATCTGCTATCAGGAACTTTTTCAGTGCTACTCAAGGTATAGTCTCCAGACCATCAGCAGAGGCATCATCTGAGAACTTGTTAGAAATGCAAATTATTGAGCCCCTCCCCAAGGCTTGCTGAATCAGAATCTTTGGGGATGGGGTGGGGAGGGGTTGTCCCATGAAATTCTGTTTTAATAAGCTTTTCAGGTGACAACTTAAGCACATTCACTGAAGTTTGAGAATCAAGGTAGGTCTGACTCAGTAGGTCTAGGGTGGAACCCATGACTTGGCAGTTCTAACAACATGCAGACGACGTGGATGCTGCCATCTGTGGACCACACTTCCAGTGGCACTGCTTTAGAAGTCAATCACGTACACATGAAATGACAGCCAACAGTAAAAGCCTTACTGGTCCTGAGAGTATAGGATCAAAGTCTTCGTGAAAGACATGAGTCACTAATGGTGGGATTTCAGATAAGAGCCACCAGGCTAAAAAACCAAAAAGCATATTCTGGTCAGAGGGTGGACTTGGAGGCTGTGAAGCCACAATGTGTGTGATTAGCTTTCTTCCGTATCTAGATCCCATCCTGGCTATGAATGATTAAAGAGGGAGTGTTGTATGGGGGGAAAGCACAGGACTGGAAGCAGAAGACCTGGATTCTAGTTCTTGCCCTGTCACTGAGAATGGAATCATGGTGGGGTCCTTATCTCTCTAATTCTCATCTATAAACTGAAGAAGATGAGAGCTACACAATCTCTACCACCCTTACTCTCCCCCCTACACTTTTTTTTTTTTTTTTTTTTTGCGGTACGCGGGCCTCTCACTGCTGCCGCCTCTCCCGTTGCGGAGCACGGGCTCCGGACGCGCAGGCTCAGCGGCCATGGCTCACGGGCCCAGCCGCTCCACGCCATGTGGGACCTTCCCGAACCGGGGCACGAACCTGTGTCCCCTGCACCGGCAGGCGGACTCTCAACCACAGCGCCACCAGGGAAGCCCCCCCACCACTTGTTTTATTACGCAAGATTACGATTACCTTAGCAACAATTTTCTCTCCAGACGCGTAAGGGTGTCTCAAAAATATGGGAACGGCAAAGTGCAGAACTGAAGGCCCACTGAGTTAAATCCTTGGCCCTGAGTTACACTGTGAATCATGGGGAGAGTTAGGACCGACTCTATTCCACCACACCCCCCCTTAAGGTAATGCTTGTTGAGCATCCAGGCTCTGAGCTAGACTCTCAGGGTGGGGATCCCTGCCTCCCGCTTAACGGCGTGACTTTGGGCAAGTTACTCTCTCGGAGCTGTAGCTTTCTAGTCTATAGAACAGGGACGACAATAACACCTACCTCATAGGGTTATCGTCAAGTTTAAAAGAGTTAATACATGTCAAGCGCTTAGGACAATGTCTGGCACGAGAAAAGCATTCGATAAACGTTAGGGGCTGCAACGAGGAGAAGGAAGGGTGGGGCCGGGTTAATCCCTGCCATCGAACTGTTGAAGTCTCCAGACCAGGTTGCAGGTCTTCCTGTCTCCTGTAGGTGGCGCCTCCCCTCGTTGAGCAGGCTACCAGCGACCTGGAGCGTTTGAGGAGGAAGTTGAAGTTTCTTTACATCTCTGCTCTGTTTAGTATTTCTAGAAAGGACTCTCCTGCAATCCTCTGAAACCTGTGCTCAGGACCGCCAGGTTTGGGGATCCCGACTTCCTTCCTGAAATGGCTTCACTCCACCCCACCTCCATCAGAGGCCACTCACCATCGCCAGGAGCCGGAGCTTCCCCTGCGGATGCAACCCTGTAGGCCTTGTCGTGGGAGGATTTAACTCCCAGCACCTGAGCCAGGGAGTTCAGTGAGTTTCTTTCCTGCTCGGTTAAAATGACAAATTGGTACATGAGCGCTTAATGAAAGACGCTGGAAACGTCCGTGGAGATCAGAAAAATCGCCTCGCCGAGCTGACAGCCAGGCCATCTGCATTCCCACATTCCTATTAATTCCTTAACAATAAACGACAGGAGTGCCTAGAGGGTTAACAGCTTAATTTAATCTCTGAGATTCCTTCGTGGAGCACTGAGAATTAGAAAGGCATTTACAAAATGTTATCTGCACACCTGATTTTCCCCACTTGATGTGTCTTCTGGTGCGGTCACACCCATTCCTGACACACCTCGCACAGAGGCTCTGCCCCTCTGGCTGATAGAACACTCTCCACTGGGCCACTCTTGGGCTCCTTGAACCACGCCATTGGGCTCCCAGTGTCACAAGATTTAGCCTCTTAGCAGTCGCCCCAAATGCCGGTTTACGTTATTTCCTCCAGGGCCTTTTAGGGACAGGAAAGTCCCCAAACAGAGCTAGAAAGTTGATGTCCCTGTTTCGGGTGAATTTCCTTCCCTGGTGCGGAGTAAAGGGAAGAGGTACTTGGTAGCAGCAACCAGCTTGGAGACCCATCAGTTCAGGCTTGAGAGTCTCTGGCAGATCATGAATTACTCATTGGAGAAGACCAATCCTAATGCCATTTTGTGGATAAGGAAACTGAGACCCGGAAATGTTTAATAGTTTGTTTAAGGCCATATATCCAGGTAATGTCAAAGCCTCAAAGTAGGATTCAATTCTCCTTACTCCCAGACAAATATTTGTTTGACAATAGGGTTGGCACATAGATTTCATCTTACGAGGTAACTCCCATCACTGGTTGGTAGGGGCTGTCCAGAGCCCTGTGGACTTCTCAGAAAGCCTCGGTTACAGTTTGGAGATGTCTTCTAGGGACAGAGAGGGGGCAGAGGTTTCAGGTACTTGCAGTCTCTGCACTTTTCAGTCTCTGCACTGTTTCCTTTGGGTTAGGCATTAAAGGCTTTTATTAAAATGGAAATGTTATCTGGGAGGAGTAATGCATTAAGCCATTATCTGTCATTAACAACTTGGCTAGAATTCATTTAAGATTAGTTTGCTAGTTGCCCAGCAGATCCCTAAGGGAAAGAGAGTTTTGACCGGGATAGGGGCCTAGGAAAGGACACAGGGCCTTGCCCTGCAGGGTGCAATATTTCAGGGCTCAGTGTAGACAGGACTTAGGAGACACTGCATATCCAGTGGGCCCGAGGTAAGAGGAAGAAGTGACCCTGAAGACTTTTGCACAATCCTCTCTTGGCTTACCTTTGCGTAGTATGGTTTCTACCAGTCATATTACCTGATTCTCGGTTTCCCCAAAGGTAAAATAAAGAGCTGGACTAGGTCACAGGTTCTCAAACCTGTACATACTAGAATCACCTGGAAGACATTTTTTAAAAAAAATACCAATGTTTGGGTCCTACCCAGGCCAATTAAATCAGAATGTCCAAGTCTGAGCCCTGGGCCTCCTTTTCCCACCTCTCTATAGAATATCCTGGTATCAGTCATTATACCATCTGGTCCTTATCCCGATACTAACATATTTTATATACTTACAATTCCAGTTTCTGTATCATTCTGCATTTTCAATGCATCAAAATGCTTTCAGAGGCAGGTAACAAGAATATTTAACAAAAAGCCTCAAGAGCAGTTTTCACTGTCTCACAAAAGAAGTCTAGAGGTCCTACTTTGGTTCATCAGCTGAAAAATACTACAACTGAGCAGACTTCTTTCATCCTTTTATTTCTTTACTCTCAGCATTGGCTCTTGGTCTTTAGACTTGCTGTTGCATGGTTGCCATAGTTGAAGAATCATGTTTTCATACAACTGTGTTCACAGCCATGAAGGAAAAAAGCGCAGGGGCCTCATGCATGCTCATCCTTTTAACTAGAAGAAAAATGTCCCCAGACATCTCCCAGTACGGTCTTCCTCTTACTTCTCATTGGCCAGAACTGGCTCATGTGGCTGTCTTTAGCTTCAAGTGAACCTGGGAAAGCAAGAGTCTGGTACTTTCAGCCTTTATCATGAGAGGCAGCTCTGCTAGAAATAAAGAAGGGTGAGTATTGGGTAAGCTATTTAGAGAATCTGCCTAATTGCAGTAAATATATTTGGTAACACATAAGACATAATTAAATATCTATAATAACAGCTAGGGACCTAAATGCAGCTGCTACTTTATATATTACTTCCTTAAGCAGCTAAAGCCTTTTATTCATATCTGCAGTGCTAGCTCCTGAGACCACATCCTCCTACCTAGGCAGGAAGTATAAAAGAAGATCAAGGCCATTTAGATGTGTTTTGTTAACTTGTGATGTGACTATAAATGTCTTCCTGAACAGCAGACTCCTGTCATCTGGGATCTGATTCCTCCACCCCATCTTGCCAACTGACTTCACAGCGTTTAGACCTTTATCATACTCTTAAACAAGGCAGACCACGCATCTGCACCTTCATCTCCAGAACAAATTTCATGGAGTTAGGATTGCTTTCCTTCCTGGTGTGAAGAAGGAGCCACTAGAGGAGGAGGGAGGGGAAACAAACTGCAGCTACCTCGAAACTTCTTATCTAGGGCCAGCCTTGATAAAGGAAATGAAAGACTTTCCTTGTGATTGGATAATGAGGCAAAATAAATTTATGGAGGTATTGGAGGCAGAGTCCCATTTGATTCCTTCGGCAGCTGGAAGGCAAGCTGCTTGCCCGGTGCCTGTGGGTCACCAACAGCAACATGGAGTAGAGTTTGTGGTGGCTGAGAGTGTGGGCTTGGCTGTCACACCCTGGGTTTGAACCCTGGCTCTGTGACCTTGAACGAAGGACTTACCACCCCTGGTTCCAGTTTTCTTGTTTGTAAAATGGGGAGAAAAATCATACCCATCTCATGGAGTTGGGAGGATTAAATGAAATATGCATAGAAAGCACTCAGCAATTGTGTCAATTACCAGGTAGTTTCTGAGATGTGTTCTATGAAACAGAAATGACCTGATTCAATGGCAGAGCCCAGGAATTCTAGCTCCAGTTCAGAATCTTTGGTCTCACTGATGAAAGCAACAGTTTCCCCATGGTGTCCCAGGGATCTTGTGAATCTTTTTTTATAACCCTTTTGCCTGCCTCATCCAATTCTTTTCCCATCCAATTCTTTTGTAATTATAACCATGCCTCATGTTCAGAAAATTCAGGACAGGAAAATCTGAGTGTGTTTAACAGATACACCTAGGGTTCATTATTCATATTACAAAATAATTATTTGTTTTACAAGAGAATTAACCTTTACAAAGTTAATTTCCTGTGTATATGCAAAACTGAATGCAGAATATAAAAACTTTACACACAGCTTAGAATCATAAAATTGTGAAACCTTAGATAGAACTGACCTTTGAAACTATCTAGGCCAGCTGTTTTCATAATTTTATTGTAGCAGCCCTATTTCTTTCTTTATTTTTTTAAACATCTTTATTGGAGTATAATTGCTTTACAAAGGTGTGTTAGTTTCTGCTGTATAACAAAGTGAATCAGCTATATGCATACTTATATCCCCATATCCCCTCCCTCTTGCGTCTCCCTCCCACCCTCCCTATCCCACCCCTCTAGGTGGTCACAAAGCACGGAGCTGATCTCCCTGTGCTATATGGCTGCTTCCCACTAGCTATCTGTTTTACATTTGGTAGTGTATATATGTCCATGCTGCTCTCTCACTTAGTCCCAGCTTACCCTTCCCCCTCCCCGTGTCCTCAAGTCCATTCTCTACGTCTGCGTCTTTATTCCTGTCCTGCCCCTAGGTTCTTCAGAACCATTAGCAGCGCTGTTCCTTTAGAAGTCTGTCTTAGATTTCCTAGCTGCATGATGCAGAGGAAGGCAGAATTAACTCGGTTAAACCAGGGATGGGGAAGAGGCAGCGCTCACTCCCTTAGCCTCTTGCTCTATCCCAGAAACAGCTTCGGAATCCCTCCAAGGAACCCTAGGGCTTCTAGGAACATAAATTTGAGTTCCACTGATCTACCACGGCCATCTTACTCTGTACATTCCTTTCGTAAAACTTGATACTCCTGTATCTCTGTTAATTCAACTGTCTTATTTTCTTTTTTAAATTATAGGTTCCTTGAGGGCAAGAACCTTTTTGTTTAAATTAAAAAAAATTCTTCGTGTATTGCTCTGCATGTAAATGGAGTATTTAAGGTCTTGTTAAAGTCTTCCTGTTAGTGGCAGAAATGAACAGAAACCATTATTATATATAAACACCCTTTATTAAATCTTTGAAAAGTGATTTCATAGAACCACTGAATTTTCAGCTTGAAGGGACCTTGGAGAATGTGTACTTTCTCATTTTCTGGATGTGGAAACTGGGGCCCAGATAAGTGATTCGGTTGATGTCATGCTGTAAGTTAATAGCAGAGCTGGACAAGAGTGCTAGACACCTGATTCTTGGATTAAGACCGTTGCAACTTCTAACAAGAGGCTGCTCTTACACTCGTAGAATCTTATAGATTTGTATGCCTGAAAACACACGTAAGCTACCTACAGATCCCTTTCTTTTCTCAACAGTTAATCCAGAGAACTATCTTAATAATCAAAGGCCTATGTTTTATTACGTAAATTTTTAAAAATTATAGAAGTAAAAATGGACTGACATAAGGAGATGTCCAGGATATAGCAAATGGAAATGCAAGTATTATATGTGGCATGATCCCATTTTGTTTAAAGCTTAGGTTATTTCTCTAAGGTAGCTGAACATATTCTTCTATGACACATGACTCAAGTATCTAATGAACATTCAAGTATCTAATGATGTGACAACCACACCTGTTAATTTATATAAGTTGACACTGGTGTATGACTCCAACAACTGTAAGAGGTTTTTATTTACTTTATCTTATTACATTTACTATTGCACAGTGTTGCATGGTATATGTGCATCATCATTTATTTACCCAATCCTCTATTGACAACATTTAGGTTATCTCCAATTTTTCAACAAGCTGCAGTGAAATTCCTCACACAAACATCCTTTTGCAGAACACAGCATTTTTGTGGGACAAATTCCTAGAAGTGGAATTGCTGGATCAAATTTTGACATACTGTATGGTATCTATTCTCAGGTTTTTCTTTTGCTGCTGAGACTAAAATGAATAAACCCTGGCATCCAAACATAACTTTGTAGTTTACCAGGGCTTTCACAAACATGATGTTACTTGAACTTTTTAACAACTCATGTAGGTTTACAGATGAGGAATATGAGGTTTAGATAAGTTAAGTAATTTGCTCAAGTCATTTAGTTAGGGAAGGTAGAGCCAGATTTGAAAACTAGGTCTTCTCACTCCAGGTGTAGGGCCGAAAGTCCCCAATGAAAATACAGAAATAAAGCATTAGGATGAGAACAGGAATGTGAACATGTTCTCTTCGGGCAGCAGAGACCACTAATCTGGCCTATTGGTGGATATAAACTGGGGCATAGACATCATCTGGCCTTCACCTTAAAATCACCTTAATACCTTAAAATCATCCTGAGAGCGATTCAGTTGTATCCCCAGAAACAACCACTGCCACAGTCTCCTGTGGTGAGAAGAGGTTCAAAAGCGTATTGATGAGGGACTTCCCTGGTGGTCCAGTGGGTAAGACTCCGCGTTCCCCATGCAGGGGGCCCGGGTTCGATCCCTGGTCAGGGAACTAGATTCCGCATGCATGCTGCAACTAAGAATCCGTGTGTCACAACTAAGAAGTCTGCATACTGCAACTAAAAGATCCCGGATGCCGCAACTAAAGATCCCGAGTGCAGCAGCTAAGACCTGGCTCAGCCAAAATAAATACATAAATATTAACAACAACAAAAAAGGAGTATTGATGAAACCATTTGTGCCCTAGATATAGAGGAGAGGAGAAGCCCTAAGATTTGCTAACTAGACTCACTGGACAGGCCTTTGTGAGAGAAGAGGGGTAAGTGTGTGTGGCGGGGAGGCAGCATAAGGCACTTTTTCTTCTGGAGACAGAGGACTCTGCTCTGCTGCATTTCAACTTGCTAGTGGGTTTCTAGCATGGGCTGGGGCCCAATAAATAGCTCTGACAGTAAAGTTGTCCTTGTGCAAACATCCCTTTTTCCTGTCCATGCAAACTACTGATTGATGCTAAAGCAATTAAGTCTTATTTGGTTTAATAGACATTTGACGGGCACCTACCATGTGTAAGGCCCTGAGGATGTTGACTTAGTTCGGGCCGCTATAACATTATACCATAAACTAGGCAGCATAAACAATAGACATTTGTTTCTTACGGTTCTGGAGACTGGAAGTCCAAGATCAGAGTGCCAGCATAGTGACGTTCCTGGTGAGTCCTCTTCCTGGTTTACAGATGGCTGCTGTCTCCTTGCTGTATCCTCCTCACATAGCCAAGAAAAAAAGGTTTCAGCTTCTCTTCCATTTTATAAAGGCATTATATCCCAACATTGGGGCCCCCACCCCCGTGACCTAACTTAACCCTGATTACCTCCCAAATGTCCACTTCCGAATACCATTATATTGGGGATTAGGGTTCCAACATATGAATGGGTGTGGGGCACAAACATTCAGTCCACAGCAGATGGGAGACTAGCAGTGCACAGAGGTCTCTGCCACAAGACTAGGGGGTCTTCTGTAGCACCTCCATTCTCAGCCACCCAACTCTACCCAACCCTAGATCTCTTGGGAGCAGAAGCTGATTGGGTGGGAGCAGAGCTAGCAAAGGCCTGTCTTGTCACACCACCGCCATGGACCGGCGGCTGTGACGGGGCCTCGGCAACCTTTCAGGCCTGGGCTATCTCTGGCTCGGTCTCCTCTCCTGAGACCCTGTCTCCAAGCTGCATATTATGCTAGTAGGACCCAGAGAGATTTATTTGGTGACCTTTCAGGATGTGGAATCCAAGCAGGGGGAGGGAGCAAGTCAGCTCCGAAGTGGTTAATTTTACTGGCTCTTAAATTGATGAGCGGTGGGACGTCAGTCTGAAATGAACTCGCCTTGTTCGAAGGGGTTCTAAGACAGCGGAACTCAATCAGCAGCGGGCCGCACGGTTCAAGGCTGCAATTCATCCCCCGTGCCTCTGAAAAATGGGAGGTGACAGTTCATTTTGCCAGTGACAGTCTGTCGGTCTCGCTCGCTGCTTCTCCTGTCGACTGCCTGGCTGAAGTGAAGTGCAGCTCCAAGACACCCTCGTTTGGTATTCCACTCAGCTGAGCAGGACGGTCCCAGGACCCAAGGTGTGCAAATCTTACTCTAGCCCCGCAGCTTGTCTTCTTCCCCTCTTCATGCACGCACGAAATGCCGATACATGATTGCGCGTCCCAGGAGCCATCTTCCCGCTTCCTAGGCCTCACCTTTCCTTCCAACTTCCACTTCCGGCGGACTGGGTTTCCTCCTCCCTTCGGGACCTTGTATTGTAGAACAAAGCCATCCTGTTCAGAGGGCTTCCAGCTTCCTGACAGAGGACTGAGGGCAAGGTGAGGTATGGACATGGGTGTGGAGAAGTTGCTGCTGCCAGTGGGGGCATGGAGGGAAAACAGATACACTCAGCAGGACACTGCCTTCCCCACCAGGGCCTCGGCTTTTGAGGAGACTCCTGAACAAGGGCAGAGAGAGAGAGGAAGGAGAAAGGGAGGTGACCCTGTGATGCACGCACTTAATCCTGGACTGTCCTCCTTCCCCAGTACTTTCTACTTCCCTTAAAAAAAAAAAAAAGAATTAGAGCTCATGTATCTTTGTTAACTTTCCTCATTTTGATAACTGGTGTCATCTAAGGAAATATCCTCATTCTTAGGAAATACTACTGAAGTAGTCACGGGAAAAGGAACATGATATCTGAAATTTACTCTCAGGTGGTTTGGAAAAAATATGTAAATTTACATAAATGGAAAACAATAAAGCAAACGTGACAAAAGCTAACAATTGATGAATCTAGGTAAGTGGTATACAAGAATTCTAGTACTGGGGTACCTAAACTTTTCTGTAAGTTTGAAATTAATTCAAAATAAAAAGTATTAAAAAAAAAACCAAGAGACTTACCTTCAGCACTTCCTCAATACGCGTTTGTTTAGAACCTACGATGATGCACCAGGCACAGTAAGTGCTGAGGATACAGTGGTGAACATGATAGGAAAGGTCTGGACCCTCAGGGAGGGTTGGGAGGGAAGACAGGTGGTAGACAGGTAGTTACAGATGGGACTTGAGTTTTCAATGGTAGGTCTTAGTGCTACAGGAACGTATGAGAAGGAAACAAGCCAGCCTGGAGAGCCAAGGATGGTTACCAGAGGAAATGATGTTTAAGTTGAGACTTGAAGCATGAGGAAGGGTCAGCTGAATGAAGGGTAGGGGGGAAGAGTGTTGCAGAGGGAGGGAACAGCACATGTGGAAAAATGAAAGTGGGAGTGGGTGTGTCTCAATGAGAAACTGCAAGAAGTCTGCTACTGAAGATGACAGAGAGTAAGAGGACCATTTGGCAGAGGAGATAAGCAAGAGGTCAAGCATGGTCGGGGGGATGGGGACATACTAGCCATACTGAGGGGTTTGGAAGCATAATATTGGGAGGCTACTAAAGTTTTAATTAGTGAGGGACATAAGCAGATTTTTTAAAAAAGAGATCACTGGCTATAATGTGGAAAATAGGTTGACAGGGTATAAGACTAGGGGGCTGCAAGATGAGAGGTGATGGTGGCTTGGAAGAGGAGAGAAGGCAGCAGGGCTGGAGAGAAGTGGAGAGTTTGAAAGATATTTAGCAGGTGGAATTGGCAGAGGGAGAAAGAGGAATGAATGACCCCCAGGTTTCTAGATTGGGCAATTGGATTATCCACAGTACCATTTACTGACCTGGGGAAGATGGGAGGTGAGGGAGAGTTGGCTAAGAAGGGGCCAGTGGTTATCTTTGTGAAATCTGGGTCCACCCTGAACATATCACAACCAAAAAATATAACACCTAGTAAAGCAGAGTCCCAGACAGGCTGGAACTAAGGCTCCAGTGAGTGAACAGAGTAAGGATCTAAACCCCTGTCCGACCACACCCCTGATTTTCAAGGGTCCAGAAGTCCTGTAAGAGAGAATTTGAACCTTTTCTATTGTGATTTAGTCATATTCAGGCAGCTCCGTAGGGAGCTGTGACGGATAGATTGCCTTACCTGTTCAACAACTCTACCCACCTTTAGAAACAGCGATCTGTGTTGTCTAGGAATTTCTTCTCCCTCATTTCCACTCATGTGGTTTCTGTAGGAAGTGCTTTGTTCTTACGTAACACTGCCCCCATGACCACAACTGACCTGGGTTGGGCCAATGAGAGCCGTTCTATGGCCTAAGAAACAATGGAATCCAGGGGCCCAAAGACAAGCTGCATTTAAGGCCTGCCTTCCATGTTCAGTTATTCAAGGCTTCCTTGGAATCTTGGTGACAATTAATTTCTTTTTTTTTTTTTTGCCTAAGGCTGTTTGATTTGGGTTTCTGTCTCATCCTATCAATCATCCATGGGACCCTTAAAGAAGCCGGGTTGTTGGAAAGAAAAGGAGACTGCTGAGAGGAAGAAAATCACAAAAGTAAGGATGGAGTCGGCAGATGGGCCACACTCAGTGACAAACTTTGAGTGGAAGGCAGCATATGGTTATTCTTAAGCCCTCCTGACCCAGCCCTGGCAGGTACTGAAGTCTCTGTCAGGTGAAGGGTAAGCAAGGCCACACCTTATGGGCAGCATAGCAAAAGTAGGCACTTTTCAATAAAAGCCAAGGGGCAAGTAAGAACCAATGGGCTGACAGAGGCAGAAGTGATGCAAATCTGTGAAATAACCCTGGAAATATCAAAAAGACACAAGAGGGCTTCCCTGGTGGTGCAGTGGTTGAGAGTCCGCCTGCCGATGCAGGGGACACGGGTTCGAGCCCCGGTCCAGGAAGATCCCACGTGCTGCGGAGTGGCTGGCCTGTGAGCCATGGCCGCTGAGCCTGCGCGTCCGGAGCTTGTGCTCCACAACGGAAGGGGCCACAACAGTGAGAGGCCCGCGTACCGCAAAAAAAAAAAAAAAAAGACACAAGAAAGGAGGAAGACAGACTGAGATCATCACATCTGAGAGATGGGGGCTATGATCCAGTGGTCTTAGGGACAAATTGTTAAAGTGATCTCACCTGGTAGTACCTGGGAACCCACACTAAAACTTATTAGTACAAAGAGCAGCCACTGAGGAAGACGAGATCTGAGCCAGGAGTTTAGTAAAGTTGACCAAAGATGGAAGATTCCAGAGGTCAATGATCAAAGCTCCTAGGGAAAAAAAATTCTGAGATAAGCATTGCTTGCCTTCAGATCCCTTTCGTTCTCCATCCTTCCTTGGTACCCAATCCCTCAAGTTGATTTTAATATTAATACTTAATTTTTAATATTCACCCAGGCCTGAATTCTCTTCTCTTGGGTAATGCTGAGCGTCCCAGATATTTCTTGCTTTCATGTCCTGTCAAAATTTACCTGCCTGTATCCTATATCAGCCCCTGAAGACAGCTGCTAATCTGATCAATTGATGTGTTCTAATGGGATAAAGAGTGAGAATGGAGCAACATATTAGCCCTGCCAGGTAATTCATATCTTATTTATTTACGAATTCTTACTACCTGACGCTGTTCCTGGAACACACCAGGTATTCAGTTCATGTCTGCTTAAATGAAAGAGATGGAGTATGCTTCTTTTCTGGAGGCAATCTCTTACTCAAAGTTAAGGCTCTCCCTCATGGTAAGAATTTCCAGTACTGTAATAACCTATAAGGGAAAAGAGTCTGAAAAAGAAATCATGGAATTCTGGATGTTAGAGCTGAAAGGAACCTTATTTCCTCATGTACAGTTGAGGAAGTGGGTCCTTTAATAAAAAGAAAAGATAATCAAATTACCTGTCCTAGATGATTTAGTTACCAGAAGACATGATGCCAAACCAGATATTCTCTTGGAATTCCTATAAACTCCATTATTCTTTGGCTTCATGACTCTGTTTTGGACACTAACCTATAAACTCTCTGAACAATCAGACTCATGCTCCTCTCAGTGGCCTGAGAGAAACAGTGTGGATTGGGTGGGGATAATTGTTTGGAAGCCCATGGTCCTGTCACTTAACTATTTTCTTATCTAGAATCTTCCCTAGTTTGGCATCAGCTAACACAGGAAGTGGTAATGCTATTATCTGTAGATTCAGCCAAATCACCATTTCCTGATTCCAATGTTCAACAACCACTTTTGAATCCTCCCCTCACTTCCTCTCTGCTTCAGTTTGAGGTTCAAAAGCCTCCAGGAAGCAAATTAGTACTCAGCTGAGCAGAATGGGGCCCCGACACCCTTGTGGTTCAGCTGTTCGTTAATTTGCTGTAGCTCAGGTACATCCCTTCTCCAGTCTGGACCTCAGTTTTTCACTATAAGCTACAGGGTTTCTCAAGTCCCTTCTAGCTCTGAAATCTAAGATTCTTTGATGAGGTTCTGAAAGGAGAATTTTATGAACCAGCTCCTTTTGGAAAGAAAAATGTGTCATACAGCCCTATGCATCTCTTATTAGCCTAAAGCTTGTTTTGTTTCAGAGCACTATACTGAAACCATGAAAGAAATCAGAAAAGCAGGAAGACTGGCAGTGTCTGCCAGTGTCTCATATGATTTGGTAAATGGACTCAGAGGATGCCAGCATCAAAGTGGTCAGAGCAGCTCTTTGCCAAGGCTGAGTGGTGGTCAAGGGAAGAGGCTGTGGGCTCCTCCTTTGATACTGCTACATTCCTCTCCAAGCCTCTGTTTTCCATCAGTTTAGCATGAACTGGTCTCCTACTCTGGGCCAGCTTGGAAGGAATTGTATCCTGGTTTTGTTTCCAAATCAGTATAGAGGTGAGGACGTCCTGTTGAGGCTCTCCAATGGTGATCATCACACTCTCTGTTTTTAACCATAGAATTAGGGTTAGAAGCCCTAGTAACTAGCACTGGTGAGATGGAAAACTCACTTCCTGGGGAAGGGTTCCACTGGGGATTGTAGAGTGAGAACTATTAAGCCTACCCTATTAAGCATAATTGGGTACCATCTTCTCCTGGGGACTCTGGAAGCCCTCAGCCTTCTCTTCCTCAGGCATTTTCTCCCGGGGGTAAGATGTTGAAAGTTGGAGGTTAAATGACTTGCCCAAAATCACACTGTTGGTGTCAGAGCAGAGATGAAAACCTCAGCCAATCTTCCAAGACCTTATTCTGGCTCTTATGGGACCATGCCACACCTGCTCCTTGTAAAAGGGACAGTCGCACCTCCTGAGGACACTGGGCAGGGATGCCAGGTATTGATGTGACTGCCGTTCCAGTTCCCAGTGACCTTTTACATCCTGAAGCCTGCTCAGACTGTGGAGGAAGCAGCTCTGGAGCAGCGGGGGTTGCCATATGCAGAGCTGCCCTGGTGAAGATAACAGGTTGTCTGTCATGTACGAAGCCTGTGTATGGCCCAGACCACAGAGCTTCCATCGGAGGAGAAATTAAACCTGTCTCACATACCAATCCCAGTGCTCTGATTACATTTACAGAGGTCATGGCCTGCATTCTGTCACCATGGAAACCTCTCATGCTGCCAGTGTTGTCTGTGTGTGTGGTTGATATTTAAAGGCAAAGTCACAGGCCCCATTGCCCAGCTATCAGATGCCAGGGGCAATCGCTCTCCTTCACCAGCCTGAGTCCTGATGCTTCATCCAAGAGATAAGAGGAAGAGATGGGGAAAAGGGCCCACCTGTCTCCAACAGGCAGGCCTCCAGTAGAGCCAGGTTTGCAGGGAGGGGGCTCTGGGATGGCGGTGCTGGTATAGCAGTTGTGGGGGAACCAGAAAGCATGCCGACTTTGTCAGAATACAAGCATCTTCTCACAGGCACATGAGCCCACTGTTAAGTAGAGCCCTTCTTTCTCTAATAACTTCCAAGTCGTGAGCACATTTCAGAGCAGCCAGATGGAGCTGGGGAAGGCCCCTCTGCCTGAGTGCCCTTGGTGGTTTCGATTTTGCACATCTGGTAGCTGTGTGAATTGTGCTGATAACAATACCGTTTATGAAGGATCCCTGCTTCTTCCAAAGACCCCACAGCACTGTCCTGGAAAAAGCTACCAGGGGAGTGACTTATCAGGAGTCCCAGGTGTTGGAAGAGGTAAATAACACCTGATTCAACAGAGTAAGAAAAGAACACAAGTGCTGACTTGGCTTGTGACCATCAATTTTTTCTTTAGTCTCAAGACAATTATTTCCACACCATTGAATGGAGTGTAGATAACACGAGCACCTTAATAGGCTGGGAGCAGAGGCTGTTTAGAGGAGATTTTAAGCACTGTGAGCATAAAATGAACATGAATATTCTGCAATATGCATCTTACAACTTGTCATTAAGTGGATGGCCTCAGTGATGTGATGCAACAGGCTTTGATTGGAATATTGAGCTCTGAGAAAGGAAATTCTGCATCAATAGTCTCACGATGTGGAATATCACATATTACTCAGTAAGACATGTCATTGTATTGATAGTGCATATGCTAAAAAGTACAGCAGTGGATAATAACAGCTTGAGTCTCCACAAGGTAGTTTTCTTTAGGAATTTACAGCCACTCCCTGCAGCTTCTCAATGTCCTTGTGGGTGGAACATGGTATACCCTGAAATTACAACTAGGGAAATGGTGTGAATCTATTTGATTTAATTTCCTCTTTATTTTCTCTTACATTTTCTTTCTATTTCTCAATTTCTTTACTTTTTCATCCAGTTTCTCATTCACTTTCTTCGTTTCCATTTTTCTTGCTTGCTTGTTTTATCCCTAGTCCATCACCCCTCCCTGTCAAACACCCCCTCCTACCCTCCCCCCCTACACTGCTTTCTGTTAGAGCTCAGCCCTGCTGGCAGCCCTACAGACTAAAGAGGCTACCGACTCCTGGGATATAATCTGCCTTCTGATTGGTTCTTTCTGGGGTCTGTATTTACAGTGGAAACTTGATTTCTGCCACAGTGAGTGAAAAGAGGAGTTAATATCTCATGCCTTCCAGACGAAGGTTTTCCCCATGTGATTCAGAAGCACTGCAAGTATTCTAGAATAGATAGGGAAGGGAGGAAATCTTCGGAGGTAGGCAGGGAGAATCTGCAGGCTGATTATCCCAATTCATTACAGCCCGGTGCTAAGGAAGCCAAGGCCACTCTTTCCATCTTTTTAAAGGCAAGTTTGCTTCATAAAGAGGAAAAGCTCTCATCCTTGGAGACCAATGACACACATATCTCAGCCAGTCACTCCTCAAATATATCTTTAGTGAGCAAGGAGGTTCAAATGAGAGATTATGGATGATTCAGTATCTATCTAGGCATTAAGCACCTCCCAGGGCTGGCTGTTGTGGGGAATGAATGCAGAGATCATAATAATTGCTAATATGTGTGAATCATCTACCATGTTGCAGGCAGTTATAAACACAATATATATTAGCTCTTTGAATCCTCACAACAACCTTTAAGTACTAATAGTGTTGCCATTTTACAGATAGGGAAATTGAGGTATGGAGAGGATAAGTGGCTTGACCAAGGTCATAGCAGGCAAGTGGCAGATTTGAGCAGAGAACTGCCTGACTTCAGGGCCACTATACTTCAGGGCCACTATACCCTATCACCTCTTTGGTGGGGTCAGGATTGTGCTTTGGGATGTGTATTCTGAATATGGATGAAGAGTGGCATGTGATAATGGGGAGATTGGATGCTGAGGGTTGGATTAAAAGCCATTTCAGTATCACATCTCAATAAAGATAATAAGAACCCAACCCAGAGTGGTGACACTCAGGATTCAAAGGAGGGATTCAGGGCTTCCCTGGTGGCGCAGTGGTTGAGTAGTCCACCTGCTGATGCAGGGGACACGGGTTCGTGCCCCGGTCCTGGAAGATCCCACATGCCGCGGAGCGGCTAGGCCCGTGAGCCATGGCCGCTGAGCCTGCGCGTCCCGTCCGGAGCCCGTGCTCCGCAATGGGAGAGGCCACAGCAGTGAGAGGCCCACGTACCGTAACAAACAAACAAACAAACAAAAAACAAAGGGGGATTCAAAGGACATTGTGGAGAGGTAAGATTGGCAGGGTTGGTGGATATTTGGAATGCGAAAGAGGAAGGGTCCAAGATGAGTCCTACATTTTGAGTTTGGATTACTGGACAATAGCAATTTCTTTATAACAGTTACAATTTGTTGAGCATATACCATATATGCTTACAAATGCCATCTTACTTAAGCTTCATAATTACCCTGTAAGGTAGGAATTATGATATCCAATTTACAGATGAGGAAACTGAGGCTAGTAGAGCTCTGTCCAGAGGCTTAGAGCTGCCAGTGGCTGAGCCAGCATTGGGACTCACATCTTTTAGACTCATAAGCTCATGCCACTTTCACTGAACTTTGTTGCCATTACAAGGATTAAGGGGAGAGGAAATAATAAATTGGTGGAACTGTTCAGATATCTGGGTGGAAATGCACAACAAAGGTATAAATTAGAAGAGTCATCTGCATGAAGGGGAAATTTGTGGTGGTGGGAGAACGAAACCACTGGGGACTCAGAGAACAAAGAGAGAAAGGAGAGGAA